GGTACTGAGTCAACGGGATTGACACACAAGCTTTTTTACACTTAACTTTTAAAGAGCACATTCTGATGTTAATTGGGTATAAATATGGCATTTGGCGATATGTTTTCCAGTTTATGGGCAATATTTAATCTTCGTGGAAGTCGATGTTTAACATCAGATTTCAGAGGGTGCATTTTTCTAAATTTATAAAAAATTAAAAAAGCATAAGACGTGGATATCTACAGCAGCATTTTTTTACCATGAATCATGTTACATATTGTATCTTGAATTTAATTGTATACCACTGTTTAAAACAGTTAACGCCTGTCATATAATCATTTGCTAGAAAAGAAAAAAACGGCCTGAAATTACGGAACAGCCTTTTTAGAAGTAGAAGATGCGTTTTATTATATAATTTATTGCAGTTGCGTTATACCCCACAGTAGAAAGATAGGCAAGGGGCGCCGGAGTGTATTTTACCACTGTGCTGAATTTAGAACCAATTCATTTTTAACACACGAAAACCGAAAAAAATTAAGGGAAAAAAACGCGTTAGTTATGAAGCGACATCGACAGCAACAGCGACGACATCGACAAACAAAGTATATCGGGATATAACAAATCTTCAGATATAAAGATAATTCATTATACGACTTGCCAGCGAGCTGGTAAAGTTTTCATCTACATCGTCGCTTCTCATCTTTCATGTAATGCACTCGCACCTTCAGAAGTGAAGGACACTTGCCGTTTCTGAAGGTGCCATGTCAGGGCACAAGTGTAAAGGCCACTTGACCGGTGAGTGTTTTTATATGTCTGACATGAGCTAAGAAGGAAGACTGAGGTCGCATTCAGAACAGTGGACTAACTAGTCCGAGGGTCAAATATGGCGACCCAATAAAAAGCTTGCCGTCTTATCCGCTAATAGACACTGAATAGATTCCCCATGAGAAAGTATTCAAGTGGGTCGGCCATATTTTACCCTCGGACTAGTTAGCACACTGTTCTGAATGTGGCCTTACATTGATGGCCTGCTGAAGACAACAGGTCGGAGCGGAAGGCTCAGATTTTAAGCTGAGGACTCCAGTACCGGAGAGCAACGGTCGAGTCGGTGATGATGAATATAATGATGATGATAGAGGTGATGGTGGCATTAGCTGCATAAATTAAATGTCGTTTGTTAGTAATTCTAGTTAAAATATAATAATAAAATTATATTGAACCTGCTGTTTGTCTTCTCTTGTTTATGTCTGTTCAAAAGAATTAAATGGATAACTTTTTATTTCGCTTTCACCGCGAGTTAGAATAAATCTAGGGTAACACATCAACCACATTGTACAAACTATATCCGATAGACGATGTTTTATTACTGGACACACATAAACTCGTGCACGATGAATTGTCTATAATGGCACGTCATATGGTATTCTGTGATTATCAAATTATTCTTACACGATGTAAAGGGTCGTCTGTTATTTCATCATTTTTGATTCACTGTTCCAAGTCATCTTACTTCATCATTTGTCGGCCTCGAATCATTCGCATTATGCCCTGTACACATGTACATGTATTGAAACAAAAAGTTGATAAAAACAAGTACTGGTATATATACCCTGTCTGTAATGGACATAAAAAGTATTTGTTGACTTGTGACCTTTTTATAATTTTAGGCTACATCACTTCTTTTACAGGCCTTAATTTATGTCTTCGTCGTCAAACAAATCTCCAATTTCCTGTATACATGTTAAACAGTCTTCATGGGTGATACTGGCAAACGTCACAGCTGATGTTGAAGTCACAGGTGCTGACGTCACAACTGCGGGCTGTGAAAACGCTGCACTCGAAACCTGCAATTTAACAATTAATCAATTAATTGAAAATTTATTTAAACCTCATCACAGTTTTATTACTGAATTAAACCATTTCCATGATTTTCCAAATGGATTCAGAAATCTGTTTGCCTGCTCGTTTGTTATCAAAGCTACTAGTGCAATGTTCTGGGGGTGCTACATGTACATGTATATGTGGTACGTACTTGCTAACATTCGCATATTCATATTCACCTCATAGGCGCACATGTAGTAGCATAGGGCCGGGGGGGGGGGCTTTCGTGCGTTAACTCTCATGTTTATGTATAATATCAAAGTTAAAAGGGACAGCCTATTATAATGCCAGAGGGAACAATTTCCTAGTCACTATTCGACTAATACTACAGTGTATGTACCAGTGCCAGTTTTTGTTGTGCCCTCTCCGCCCGTAGTTTCATTCCGTGTTTCCTAAGCATCAACCCCAAGGCTTCTATGGGGTCTTGAGGACGTTGTTCCACCAATATTGTTAAGGCCATAACAAGGCATTCGGCAAGATCCTGAAGATAATGTGTGTCCCTGAGGGTCGTGTCACCTGTGTCCCTTGTAGGCCTACCACCCGTAGAATCGGTCTTTTTTTCATTTTCCATCACATTTTGCAGCTTTATTGTATCAGCTACATTTTATGTAGTCATGAGACTGAATCATATTCTGCTCGAAAATTGCTTTACTCATTTCGCACAATTTTCAATTATATTCCGAATATTTATGTTCTGTTATACTGTTGGTCGGGCTCGAAAGTGTGGTCGTACTCGATGTGAAATAACCTTTAACTCCACGTGAAAATAAAGTGTGTGTCCTCAACTTTCCATCTATGTCAGATGTAAATATTCAACTGCGTGTCAAATGATCCCAATAACTTTGGTCACATCATTCCTGAATTTTTCTAGTACTCAGCCGAGTTCCCTGCGCCTACTTGCTCTGTTAATCTCACATGGCGTCATTGGTTACCGCCACTCTTTTGACAAAGAAGTTTAGAAAAAGAGCATTTCCGGTGTGAAGCGATGGACACGCTGCTGAGGATCGTCGGAGCGGTGGCGATACTTTTACTTCTAAATGTCGAGACGTCGATCTCAGATAAAGAAACCAAGACAGGTAAATATCGCTGAATTCGCATTTGAACTGTTTTGCTATTTCATTTGATGGAATTTTCTTGGTTTGGTGTTACACCGGTCGCCGAATCGTCGCCCCTGTTTGAGCCCGTGTCTGCTTGTGCAGCTGCTGCAGTTTGCCTGTGCTACATGTATATTTACACGCTATGTCTACATGTAAACTGCAGCAAAAATGTTACAGAGTAAGGTCTAACATTGCCGCAAGTCACAGTGCTATTTATTGTTGCTGTTTATGCATTGAGGGAAATGTAGGTTATGTCACTGGCCATTGTATTGCTGTTATCCAATTATTGTAATAATTAAAATATTGGTAATGACCTTGCTAAGCTTACGTTTATGTATTAGTACATGTGTGTTTGTCATTATATTTTTGACTCATTATTTTTTTCATGGTTTTGAGAAAAAAAAACAAATCAGTGTAACTTTAATTGAAAAGAGTAAACAGTACCGTTATCCTGGCAAAGCTTAGGAATGAATTTTTTTAAATAATTAATTAAATTTTGTAAGTCATGTCAAAGTTGTACATGATTTTTAGTGTTTAAGAGAAACTCAAGTCAGAATTTGCTACCCATTTTAATAAAAATCAATTCAAACTGGAATGCTGTGGAGCAATTGTTGTCACTTTTTGCATAGCCACTATTGTGTTTTAGCCACATCTTGTGTTATAAGTTTACTGAATATATTCATTTCTGCACACCAAAGATGAAGGTACCAACATCTTTACTGCTGGCATATATCCATTATGTATTTCCATTATCATCAAAAGTAAAGCTGTTCTTAAGTGGTTTGACCTTTGGATACTAGTAGGCAGTTTCTAAAGAGATGAAACAATTAATTTTTATCATCACTGCTGAGGATACCACGAAAAACCTATTTCAGTGTATTTCCAATGTTTTTTTTTTTTCATTTTCTTTACCAAACATGTACCAAACAATGCTTACAGAACAGGTCAAGACTTAAGATTCTTGATAATATAAAATATTTACTTATTGAGCATAGCTATTGTTATTATTGTTGTTGTTGTGTTTGTAGATCCTCGATGGGAAAAATATTACAAGAAAATTGAAAATGCGGTGAAAAATTATAAGGAGTGTATCCAGGAAGATTGTTCCTGCCATGCAGAGTAAGTACTATATATTATAGTCTACATACTATGAAATATCACAAGGGAAAAGGCATGCATGAAAACACTTCAAAGATGGCCTACATTCCTACGCTTACTACATACTCTGGAGAAGTAAATACTGAGGGAGATTATGCCATGTTGGTAGTAGTGAGCTTTCTGTGTCCTCTATAAGGTGTATTATCAATTGTGCAAACACATTCATGTGAAGAATGCTTACTAGTACACCAGCATCAAGCAAGATTAAATGTTTGGAATTATTATTTTATAATTTTAGCAATAGAATAACACATAATTTGTTGAGAATATTACTGAGTGCAACTTAAAATGCTCACAATGTACAGCCATGTGATTTTCATGTAGCAAATTTTAAATAAAAATTTCCTGAAAACTTAAATAATTCCCCCTTAATCCAAGATAAACCCTTCCCAATATTGTTAAGGAAATTATTATCGTTTAACTTTTTTTTGAGTTCTGTATTTTTTTCTGTCATTGACTTTCCCAATAATTCACCCATCTCTTTCTCACATGTAAGATTTCAAACAAAAGTGTTTGATGCTTTGGTTAGTCCAAAGATTCATGTCAATTCACCGTATAGATCTTTAAGGAAAAATAAGTATTATTACTGAAGATCTACTTTACAGATGTCATATATAATCCAGTTATATATGACATCTGTAAAGTAGATCTTCAGAGATGCATCATTAATAATACTTATGATTTGGTTAGTTAACATTATGATTTGATTGCAGGGTTATTGAGGAAGACTTGGCAGTATGGAAGAAAGCAGGAGGAATCTTGAAAGAAAAATTTGATGCTGCCAAAGAACGTGGTACTCACTACCAAATCATCAACCACAAGCTGTATAGAGAGGATGACTGCATGTTTCAATTTAGGTAAGTCCAAGTGAAGTTAAATATATCTTTATGTCAGGTAAAATTAGATTAGATAAGTTGTGTCAAGACCTACATTTACATATTAAAGGTTTCACATTTTTGTCAAAAATTTATTATATTTATACAAGATGTTGCTCTCCCAGAAAACAGAATATCAAAAGATGCCCACTACTATTTCTTGTACAATACATGCTCAAAACTTCTCAATCAGCTCTGGTATAAGGTCACATTTTAAATTGTGCAAGTAGCAACAAAAAGGGCAGTGAAACAAGTGATGGTTTGATCAATACTGTACTAACAGTCACACTACATAGTCATAATTTTTTCAGTCTCACATAGAGTTTTCATATATGACATTTTTTGTTGTAAGTTTCCTAATATAATTGAGGTAATCTATGTACATATATATGCAATTATTTTTATTCTTCTGCTGGACTTTATCTTAAATTACTGATTTAAATTTGTAGTGAATATTACATTGTATGACATTGTTTCATCATTCTGAGAACTTCCATTGGTAATTTTTATCATCTTATTTCAGATGTAGTGGTGTAGAGCACTTTGTTCTGGAACTTATTAAAAAACTTCCTGACATGGAGTTTATACTGAACACACGGGACTATCCACAGTCACCCAAGTATTGGGATCCCTTGCCTGTGTTTTCATTTAGTAAGGTAGATATATATTTGTATATATATTTAGAATCAAACTCTTCTTTCTTTTTCGTAAGTCAGATTAATTTATTTGGTATTATTTTAGCAAATTAATAATATTATAGTGTATGTTTGATGCCAATCATGTTTTTATATGAAGCATAATTATTGGTTGTTAAGTTTTATTTATATAAATTGGTAAACTAATTGAACATTTATTTATTTTATTAGTGATTCATGTTTTTATTTTATCATTTATTTATATTGCTGTCCACTTGGAAACTATTTATGCTTTCCGTTATAAAATATATAAATGAATATTGCTGTACCTTTAACAACATTAATTTTCGATATCAGTAAGTAAATTTGTATTGCATATATTATAATAATTATCAGGTGAGAAAAGAACATCATGACATTATGTATCCAGCATGGACATTTTGGGAAGGAGGCCCCGCTGTGTGGCCAATTTATCCCACGGGCCTAGGACGCTGGGACCAGCAGCGGGATATTATCCCGAAGTAAGTGGCTCCCTCTCACAGATTTTTTATAAATCTTTTTATTTTTTTAGACTAAGGAGCAGTATGATATAATGTACCCTGCGTGGACATTTTGGGAGGGAGGGCCTTTCATTTCGGTGTACCCCAAGGGCATAGGAAGGTGGGATCTCATGAGAAAGCTGATACCAGAGTAAGTTTTAAAGCCCCCCCCCCCCCAAAAAAAAAAAAAAAAAAAAAGAAAATAATAATAATAATAATAATAATCTGCTACCAACCCTGACCTTAATTTATTTACCAGCTGAATAAGTTTTGTTTCTTGGAAGTTGGAGGTTTAAAGATGCAATTTTTTAACAACTGTGCCCCTCCCACCCCCAAATTATCATACAGCCAACCCTGGGCTTAATCTAACATGTGTTTTGTATATTATTTATGATATTTATGAGTGCCTTGGTCAAAATTTCAGTCAAAGATCTTGTTGTATTAAGCCCAGCTGGCTGCAGCTGTGAATGAATCCTGGTCTATTGCTCAGATATAATATGTATTATGTTTTACTTTGTGTTTTTATCAGAAAAGCCGAACAGTGGCCGTGGGAGAAAAAGAAAAATCTTGGGTATTTCATAGGCTCACGCACCAGTGATGAGAGAGATCCGCTTATACTGCTTTCGCGAAAAAGGCCTGATCTGGTCGATGCACAATACACTAAAAACCAAGCGTGGAAGTCAGACAAGGTAAGTGATTTGCCTCATTCATGAGGTTGAAATGAGGCATGTCTGTTATTGTCATTGTCTATTGTGTGTCTTTTTGCATGTATTTTAATACACTTTTGTGGTGTGTTATGTTGTCACTTCATTGTGTATTGTGTTCTCACACATCTGTTACTATATATGTTATGTGCAAAATAATGGCGATTTAGCAGGTAATTTTGAGAAAGACACCCTTTTAATGTTTTACTGTATGCAACAGGAAATATGGGCAGATTTTTCCTCCGTTATTTGAAGGAGAAAGGGGGGGAAAGGGAAGGCACTCAAAGTTAATATACTGACAGTCAATGAAAACACATCATTTATTTATCAAATAATATTTAAAGTTCCTTTGGAACATTAAGAAAATAACAGTTTCTGTGTGAAATATGACCCATTATTCAGTCAAACAAGGTGACTCTCTTATGACCAAACAAGTGCATTTGTACTCATTTATATGGTTGGAATCGATTCTCGGTAAAAAGGTACAAGAAAGTTTTCTGATGCGTTTTTATTGACTGTCAGTATATTTGCATTATAAGAAATTGGATGCCTGGTGTTGCATTGAGTTTGACTGTACTAGTAGGTGTGTATAAACACGCCCTGTGTACTGGGCGCTATTTCCTCTTTAAGTAATCAGTTTACCTGGTATGTTATCTGTTTTGTTTACAAAAAATATTGACCTAACCCACATTTGAACCTATGTCTGATATGGCTTTGGTAAGAGTTTTAATCTAAATACCTCTTCACACATATAGCGCCTAGGCTGAGAGATACATAATGAGATGTGAAAATCATATGCTGTAGACATTGCTTAACTCATTGCCCTATAACTTGAATCATCAGATATAATGATAAAATTTTGGGGTATATGTTTTCTTCATTATAAGGTGAATTTTGTGTTTATCACCCAACCAGAACCTTCTCTTAATTCAAACAAATTTTCAGCTCCCAAATTGTCCAAGTTACGCAAAGACCTCTGTATATATACTGTGAAATGTTATATATGAATTATATTAACTGAGGAAGTAATTTCAAATGCATTCTACAATATTGTAGAATCCAGACACAGTTTGCCAGGCCTGACTTTCAATATTTTTATACTTTTTATTAGAATTGTTTATTTTTTTATATTTAAAACATATACCACAGTCATGAAATAGCCAGTTAAGGATTCTGGTCATCATTCCAGGACACGCTCCATATGCCCCCGGCCCAGGAGGTCAAGCTGGAGGACCACTGTCCATACAAGTAGGTAGCTGTAAGGGGCTCTGCAAGACCATTTCTTTATATCTAGGACTGCCCAGTTTCATGCAAGACTGAAAGTCTGATTTAGTGCAGGATCCTCTGAAAAGGACTATAAAATTTACAGTTCATAGCTATTGCTTACTTTTCATACAATAGGTACAATCATAAATGAAAATTATCTAACACAAGCTAAAAAACTTTCATACAGTTAGCTCATGGCCAACCTAGACGCAGGTCTTCATCAGACTGATGTGAGTAGTTGTTATTACTCACTGACTGCAAGGTGGTATAGCGACCAGGGCCACCTTACAAATGTCAAAGTTGAAATTTTGCACTTTAACTTTAAGCCTGCTTTCAGTCTTAAAATTTTTTGTGAAGCAACATATATACTGAAATGGCTTACAAAAAATACTACAGAGAAGTATTTCTATTTCAACAAATTAATTTTAAATTAATTCTTGTTAATATTTGCTTCAGCAGTTTGCCCTTAGTCAATTTGCTTGTTCTCAAGAATGTAATTATACCATTTCTTCGAAATATTAGTTAATTTTGGATACAGGTCTTTTAAATGAGCAGTGATGTGTATAAAAAAAGCATCTTATGATATTGTTTGTTTCTGTATTCAGTATTTAGCTGTAATTCTTAAAAGTTGCATAAACATGTAATTTCAGATATTTGTTCAACTTCCGTGGAGTAGCAGCCAGTTTTAGGCTAAAGCATCTCTTCCTCTGCGACTCTGTGGTATTCCATGTCGGGGATGAATGGTTGGAGTTCTTCTATCCAGCAATGAAACCGTGGGTCCATTATATACCTGTGAAACAAGATCTGTCCGATGTTCAGTAAGTATAATGCTTAAAATAATATCAATAATATTATTTATTAAACACTTATAGGGGGAATTCCATTTAAATCTTGATGTATCTTGCAGAAATGAATACAAAAATTTTAAAAAAATACTGACACTAAAAAAACAGTATTAGTAAATTTACTTGACATTTAAACCACAAAAAAAAAAGCACTTGGGATAAAGTACATTGTAAGTTACATTGTTTCTTTTCAGTTTTCACCTCTCTTATAATTAAAAGCAGTTTTTTTCCATAATTTTGGGGCATATATTATTTGTCTAAGTTCCGTTGTTTCTTTTCAGTTTTCATCTGTCTTACAGTTAAAAGCAGTTTTTCCATAGTTTGGGGCATATTCATCTATTTTTGGAACAATTTAGTATTGATTCCCTTCTCTAAAAGCTTGGGTTTAGTAAAACAGGACGTCCAGCATGTCGCTCAGTAATACTTGGAAATGCCATTACACTTTTAAACTTCATTTATCTTCAAAACAAAATGATGGTAATTTTGATTATTGCAATAAATATGTAATTCACCATTTATATTGTTTTTTGACATCAGAAAAATAATATTTATGCATGTTTGGCTCTAAGCTTACACTTTCCATTCATAACTTAATATCTTCAGGGAACTCCTGGAATTTGCACAAGCCAATGATGATGTTGTTAGAGAGATTGCTAAAAGGTGTGTATGTATAAAATAACGGCATACAATACTTGATATAAAGATTAAACAGTAATGCATATTATACGATGTGTCATTTTATAACAAAAAAAAAATAGATAAATTTTTTTTCAAGTCTTGATTTCTTTAATTTTGTACAAAGATCAGTAATCGGTAGTATTGCAACTGTTACCGTTTTCATTTATGGTAAATATGGAAATAGCCTCTTTATCCATAAGTAATTATCTTGAAATCAATTCATTCCAGGGGACGTCAGTTTATATGGGACCACCTGAGAATGGAGGATGTGAAATGTTACTGGGAAAAGCTCCTGAAACAATATGCCAAACTGTTGAAATTTAAACCAAAAAGAAACAAAAATTACAAGCAAATCAAACCAACAGCTGAGAGGGATGAGCTCTGATGTTATTTTCTCTTTATTTTATGCATTTTAAGCTTACTATAGTATGTCAATTTTTCTGTGACATCCAAGTATTGGAGGTTTGAAAGGGTCAAATTATTGTTGTGAATTACCACTTTTGATGACTTTTCAATACTTTGATCCATTAAGACAAAATTTCATTTATTTTAAACCAAAAATTTACTGCTATTTCTTACTAGTAGGCTTGTTAAGGGGTCAAATGCTGCATTTTATAGTACAAATATCTAACTTGGCATAAATGTTCCTTGGGCCAAAAGAAAATTTTTTATCCAAAGAGACGCGCTCTATCGATTCATTAATTAGCATAAATTATGCAAATTAGGTGCCAGAATATATAATATTTCATATTCCCATTACTTTTTGGCCTAGAAACGTGTAAAGATTATCAAACCTGACTAAATTAGGGACAAGGAACCCATTTTTGATCATTTGGAAGCAATTGGTGGCCATTTTGTGCCTCAAATCCAAGATGGCCGCCACCCGCCATTTTGAAAGTGGCCATTTTGCTATTTTATGTTGAATTTTGAAGCGTTTGGTCTATATATTTATTGATATATATATATATCGATTCCTACTATTTTGGGGGTGAAAAAGTCATTTTTGATATTGTTTTGGTGATAGTAGGTGATTTGAATGGACAAAGAGGGTGTTTTAAGTGCCTACCAAGATATGTGTGAACGCTGCAAAACCATGCATATTGATAACCCGTATTCAAATATATCTCAGTGCAATTTTTTGTTATATACCATTTCTATTGGACTATATTATGAGCAAAAAAAACACATTTTTACCATTATGGAGGCCATTGGTGGCCGTTTTATCCCTCAAATCCAAAATGGCCACCAAAACCATTTTGAACTTGAGCATAATTCGCCATTTTGAAACTACATGTACTACATCTTTGTAAATGAGTAATACCTCGTTTTATATTATTTTCTGGTGCAGAATACATTATTTGTTTCTTAAAATTTGTGCCTCAAATCCAAGATGGCCCTCATACGCCATTTTCAAATTGAGCATTATTCACCATTTTGAAACTATCACACCTTCATAAGCGTGCCATACGTCATTTTTGATTATTTCCTGGTGCAGAATGCATTTTCGGTTTCATAAAATGTAAATAGAAACTTTTATAAGCTTCCAAATAAATATAGGATTCGGTTGCTACATGGGCCTGCAGTTTATATGTACAATGAGTAATCCAATTAGTACAAAACTTCCGATCTATAAAACAAGTGTCAGCAAACAAAATGGCTGAATTAAAGCAAAAGAATACATCTTTGACTGCATGAGGAAAATTGTTAGCCATTATTTTGATCAAAACCAAGTGATGGTTGCATGCCGCTATTTTAATAATTTGGTGTAATTTATAATCTTTGAACTGTGGGACCCTCATTCACTTGTATTAGGTAAAATGGTACTATTCTGGGGGCCCTAAAGTAATTTTCCAGTGCTAATTTGGTGACAGAAGATAATAAAAAGGTAATATAAGGTGGTAAAATAAATTCCAAGGTGAGTTTCGTTGAGTCTGTTACAAAAATGTGGAACCCGAACCACATGCTCAAATATATCATCTAGATTTATCTTAAGTGACCATCCACTAAAAGATACTGAATACTCAAATGAAAGCAATAAATATATATATTACATAGTGGTATTATATTATTAATCTTTTACTGGTCAATGTGAACCAAAAAGCCACATGCACATTTATGTCCCAGTCACTGGGGCTTGCATTTGCATGTTAAATATAGCCCAGAAGATTTGAAGGGTGAAAAATGTGTCGTCTTATAATACTATGGAACTTGGTTAGTTGTGTTGATGCGTAAATGCGTAAATGGACTTTGCTTTGAAATAGCTCTAGATCTTGTCTGCAAAATCATCCAGCAGCACAGCAAAAAGAAACATGCATGGTCAGCTCTGGTAGGCCAATAAGACAACAGCTAGTAAGAATTGAGGTTTTGTCAGTGTCCTATGAGAAACAATATATTAGAATCCAGTTTCCAGAGAAACATTAATGCACGAGAACATGTCGCATCAGAGGAAAGTGGTATCTTTACACAAAAAGAAGGAATCTGCAAAACCAACTAGAAAGCAGCAGCTGCACAGGAAGGCAAGAGGGATAAAGCAAAGAAGTCGAGGAAGCAGCCATTTTTCCTAGTTGACAGTGCCAGTGATCATTCCTAGCATGATTTGGCCAGACAAGTCATCTCACTACCAATAGAAATCCATAAGGTGACTACATAGTTCTCATTGTTTCCAATGGACGAACAAGCACAAAACATCTACAGTATATGACAACTACAGGAATATTCGTCTTGGAATCATCTTAAAACACCTTATGCCTTTTTTATTATCCTCTGGCACCAGAGTAACGCCAGAAATTAATTATGTACTTACAATATAGTAACAATTGATGTATTACGATCATATGTAAGTCCAACAGCTCAAAAAAGATAAATTATGCTATAATTTTTAAATAGAGACAGGCTCTTGGATATGAACAACAGAATAGCTAACAGTAGTCACCATAAAGTTGAATCCTCCATGCTGGTCTCTTGCACTTAATCTATGTCTTGCAAGAGACCAGCATGGAGGATTCAACTTTATGGTGAATCCTCCATGCTGGTCTCTTGCACTTAATCTATGTCTTGCAAAACCATTTTAAAATTGTTATATTACATATTTTTGCACAAATTTGACTTCAAGACGTATACAAGTGAAGGTGAAGACGTAAGCCTGTATTTGTGTTGGAGCCTTTAAATATTTAATTTTTGTATTATATCTCAGAAGAGATAAGACACATGAGTTCTACAACCCAAATGATAAGAAACGATGTATAACATGCTAGTGTAAGAGCAATAGCTTCAAATTGATGAGTTATGCCTTACCCGTATTTCAAAATTGACTGGCGGCCATCTTGGATTTGAGGATCAAAATGGCTACCAATTGTCTCCAAAGCACCAAGTATGTGTTCTTTACCTTTAATTAAGCCATTTTGGTCTCTTACACTTGTTTCAAGGTCTTTATGATTTTATAAAACATTTTGTACTAATTAGACTACATGGCACGTGTAAGTTTATTTGACAACTTAAGCCTATATGCGTATTCATTTTGGAGGATAAAATAGTTTGTACTCACTTTTTATGAAACAAATAATGTATTCTGCACCAGAAAATAATATAAAATGACGTATTACTCATTTACAAAGATGTAATACATATAGTTTCAAAATAGCGAATTATGCTCAAGTTCAAAATGGTTTAGGCGGCCATCTTGGATTTGAGGGATAAAACGACCACCAATAGCCTCCATAATGGTAAAAATTTGTTTTTTTGCTCATAATATAGTCCAATAGAAATGGCATATAACACTGAGATATATTTGAATACAGGTTATCAATATGCATAGTTTTGCAGTGTTCACACATATCTTGGTAGGCACTTAAAACACCCTCTTTGTCCCTTCAAATCACCTACTATCACCAAAACAATATCAAAAATGACTTTTTCACCCCCAAAATAGTAGGAATCGATATATATATATCAAGTATATATAGACCAAACGCTTCAAAATTCAACATAAAATAGCAAAATTATGTCCACTTTCAAAATTGCGGGTGGCGGCCATCTTGGATTTGAGGCACAAAATGGCCACCAATTGCTTCCAAATGATCAAAAATGGGTTCCTTGTCCCTAATTTAGTCAGGTTTTATAATCTTTACATGTTTCTAGGCCAAAAATTAATGGGAATATGAAATATTATATATTCTGGCACCTAATTTGCATAATTTATGCTAATTAATGAATCGATAGAGCGCGTCTCTTTGGATAAAAAATTTTCTTTTGGCCCAAGGAACATTTATGCCAAGTTAGACATTTGTACTACAAAATGCAGCGTTTGGTCATTTTTTGGTCCTTAACAAGCCTACTATACATTTTTGAGCTTCATTGTTTCGTTAAAAAATGATTTTTTTATGAAAATTAAATGCAGTTTGAATATTGTGAACCTCTCACCCACACAAGCTACTTTATATTGTTTTATTTTTATAAAAAGTTTGTTGCCATTTTTTAAAGGAACTCATTATTATAAGTTGAATACAGTTGCAATAAGGACTCTTCAATGCATGAAGTATTTCTTCAATGTTAATGTTTTCCAGCATAGCAAGAAGAGTGAAGGTGCTACATAAATGAAAATAAAGAAAAAAAATCCTCAGCCATGAAGATTATTCATAACAGCTGGTCAGGGTGCTGGTATCTTTCACTTGACTCTTCACTTTCCATTTTGTTATATGATCACAAACAAAATGACTATGCAACGTTTAAATATGTGTAGAATTTTGTTTTATTTGGTAACTGTTTTACACATAATCTGTTTATGAAACTCGAGAACATTCCACATGATACCACTGTATGACAACAATAAAATGTTACTTTTAATTACAACCACGATTCTCATTTCTTTTTATGAATAACAGCTTTTCTTTTGGCATCATTTAACTGACATATTAAGAACCCAGGGGTCTGTTTCACAAAAATAATTTTATACTACTCTGATCTAAGATAAATATGTCAAAGTTCAGTTACTTGTTGAAGTAGACGGGAGTTTTGTTCAAGAAGTTGAGCAACTTTCAGACTTTATTGAAAGTTCTTTGGCGGAACTGGCCTCAGTATTTTGAGTTTGGAGCTTAAACATTTTTGTTTGAAAATGCTCTGAACACTGGTACAAAATGGCTCCTGAGTAGTGACCCGAATGACCTCATCTTGATTATGGTATACACTTTAGAATTTGGTCAGCCTTGAAAGATTTTTAGGTGCAAATCCTGGATGGGTTCAATTTGTCCTTTTTCTCAGTTTTCTTGTTTGATTTGGTTCTGGACTAAGCTCAGGCACTGTGGGCTGCTTTCTCTTTCCTCTTCTCCCAGTAGACTTGGCAGAATCAGGGGGTGTGTCCACAGATCTGTAAAAGCAAAGGTTTTTAACATAATTACTAGTAAACAATGTCATGTGCTTTTGGTTTAATTACTGCTTTCTGATGTCTCATATAACTTAACTGAAATAACAGGTGTACTTTTGAAGCTACTGACCAATTTTTTGTCTGAAAATGTACTTGTCCCCTTTACCGCGATCCAAAAAAAAAAGCAGCTCTTTTTTTTTCCTCAGTTGTAAGAGGTAAAATGTTAATTAATAAGTAAACAATAGATAAGGATTAAACCTTAAATCCTGATGAATAACTATCATTGCTGGAAACATGGACATAAGACTACATTCAAAATGAATTAGATGGTTTGGAAACAAATAAGAGTCCATATAACTTTTCTACAGCACGACAACTCACCGTTTTCTCCCCCTCTTTGACCTTCTAACAGTTTCCTCAGTGACTGCAGATTGAAATGTTGAATCAACTTCAACAGAAGTCTTTGATCTATTAGTTGACCTTGACCCTGCTGATGACCTTGACCCAGTAGATGACCTTGATCCCTGGCTGGCCCATAAATCCTGCTCAGGCTGGGCAGATTGGATGTAAGAAGATGGAAGCAACGACTCCGACTGGTTAGAATTATCACTGGTACCAGAGAGGCTTATGTCATCCATGTTTCTTTCCTGTTTGTCTAATAAAAAAGGGGAAGCTGAATAACAAACATAAATTCAAATCAATGAGTTCACACCTCGTGACTATGATATAAGTAGTATTTTATATTCAAAAGAACATTCACTTAAAGCCATGACAGAAAGAGGAACATTTACACTTCTTAACTAATGTAATTGTTTCTAATTTTGTATCATAAAGATTCTGACACAATATCAACAGTTTTATGAATCCTTGTAACACAAGCATTTTTCCAAACAATTAAATGCACACAATTAAGAATTTAAGGTGTTAAGTCTCACCTTCTCTTACTGTATTTTTCAAAGTGTTACTATTATTGTCAGATCCTCCAAGTGACTGGAAAAAAGGACTGGAGTCTAGGAGATTAAAGTTTCCAAATTCCTCATCTTTCTGGTGTACATCATGAGAATTAATATTCATGTCATTATCAGGATGTGCATCTTTCACATCTTTATTCCTTCTCTCTGTTCTTAGCTGGAAATCTTGATTCTGACCAAGGTTTGTTTCTGAAACAAAATTTCTTTCAAATACACCAGAACTTGATTCAAAGTTTTCATTTTCAACATTAGACTTGGCTCCAATCAGTTCACTTGCACTTGTTTCCACATTACCTTTTCCGTCAGCATTTTTTATGAACTTTATAGCATTGTTTCCTTCGAATATGGGAGAGCTGTCAAGACTATCTCTCACACCACCTCTAGCACCACTTTGTTTTGTGTTCTCAAACACAGGAGAACCTTCCCCATGAAATACAGATCTGGACATATTATCAATACTATTGTCAACCTCGCCAACATCAACAGTGCCATTCACCAGCATATCGATGTAGTCAACATTTGTGACAGGAGGACTGTTCACGATATTGTCAATCAAATCATCCGTGCTACTGGCAGCAGGACTTGGATTTGACAGACAGCTGCCAGTGGGGTCCACACCACCAATGGCAAGGGGTGCATTAGGGTCTACAACACCAGTGGCAAGGGGTGCACTTGGGTTTTCACCACCAGAAACACGGTTGCTATTGACACTGACATTGGGGTCAAATCCAAGGGTTCTGTCCTCGTCTCCATCAATTTCTTCTTCTGGGTCTGAGTCAATGAGAGGTGGTGTAATTGAACCATCAAGGATGTTAGATGTCCTTGAACTATCAAAATCGTCCACTTTCCCAATCTGGAGCACATTTTCATTTTCCTCTTGTGCAAGTAATGACTTTGTCTTAGTGACAGTTGCATCAGTAGACAAATCTGAATCTTTTGTCTTATTAATTCCTTTCACAATTGAGATTTTTGTTCCCTTTACATCCTTATCTGAATACTGATGTCCATATGACAATGAATCACTTGTTGCAGGAGTGGCAGTAGTGATGGAGGTTGCAGATGTCATGGAGGTCACAGAGGTCATGAGGGTCACAGAGGTCATAGAGGTCATGGAGGTCAAAGAATCTACACCTAGTGTGTCATTACTTGTTATTGTTGATGATGTCCCTTCAGGTACACTGCTAGTTGTAACAGTACGACTGGCTGATGAGGCTTCTTTTTCAGCTTTCTTCTTTTTCATGTTAGCCTTGGCCTTGGCAATGAGATCATCAAACTGAGATTTATGTTTCTTGACTGAAAATAAATGGAAAAGCTCTTCGTTATTAAGCCTTAAAATGAATTTTCATGTCTAACAAAAGTTTTTAAGCAAGCTATAGTTAAACTGCAAAAAAATATTCATAGATCATAGCTTGGTCATTGTTTAAGGTATGTCTTAGTGATTAGGGGGAAAAAGTGGAAATATTTACTGGGAAGTTTTATACTTTGCTACAAAAAAGTCTAAAGTGCCTCAAAGTTATTCCACCTAGACGGTGATGAAGTAGGCACAAATGCTCTGTCTTACCATACTCCTTTTGAGCTTTTTCCACATTTTCTGCAGAGTCTCCCTTTTCGAAGGCCAGTCTCTGAAAATAAATGAATATTTAAAGAAATATATTTTAAAAAGAAACAACTTTTATGATTGGGATAACACTTTCAGTCAGAAGCACTGTCACTGATGAATTTTATAAGAAAATTACACACTTCACCTTCTTATATGTTCTTCACAGAGTAAACTTTCCTTTTTATGTTTCATTATTCGCTTTTCTCTGGCACATTATCTGAATTTTCACATTAATTTCTCAAGGAAAAAATAACAAAGATGAAAATAAGGGTACTCACAGTTTGTGTGCTTGCTGTTAGGGCAAGTTTGCTTTTGGTACGTTCGTGTCTTTCCATGTCTTTTATAATCTCCTGAGCTGAAAATAATAACACTATACTTCATTAACACAAGCAAAATGCCAGTAACAATCAAATCAAGCCAGTTCAATAGCGTCAGTTTGTAGAGTTTCTGGCCACTGTTTCTCACTGGGACCAGTAGATTTAAAAGCCTCGCTTGCCAGTTGGCCAAAAAGGTTTTGGCACAGAATCTAATAGCTTTTCTGGCAGTAAATGCTCTATTCTGTAGATGGTTTTCTCATGTTCTGTTTACTTACTTCCAAAGAAAGCTGACAGCCATTCTACCATCCATCTTATTACTACAGTTAACTAGGTGAATAAAAGAGATTCTAATACAATTATAATAGTACATTATCCCAGTTTGCCTGGTGGATACTGCCTACCTGACTTTGGGTTCAGTGAGTCGCACTGTGAGTTATATAGCATTGTGAACTCGTGATGCCTCTTAATTAGTGTCTGAAAAACATTAGCAAAGATCATAAGGGTAATTTTACTATGTTTAATGTTTTAGCAAATTTGACTCAGTGTGACAACTGTTGTGTTAGGTGTGACAACTGATTGTGTTGGCTGTGACAACTGTTGTGTTGGGTGTGACAGCTGATTGCATTGGATGTGACAACTTATTTGTTTGGGTGTAACAGCTGATGCTGGTTTCAAAAACAAACTTTGGTCTGAAATTGTCACAAAAAAATTAGTCTGCTTTGAAATTTACTACTAATCCAATTAAATGATATATAACTTAGCCCTGCTTTATTAAAAGAAAAACATAGCAACTGTTACAGACCAATACTTAATTAATGGGTAAAACAAATTTATCTCAATCTAATGTAAACCAAATATTGGGGTTTTGAAAGTTCAGACCAATTTTCAACAATATGCTCTTTTTGTGAAACAGTCCCCTGATTGTGTTTGATGTGATATTTACCATTGTGTATTTACATATAATGCTTTGTCAGTTAAAATCTAATCACATTATATGTTGTGTCTAATGTGGCTCTCATCTTTACCACTAATTGTTCAAATTTGTGATCAGCTATGACAGAAGGCCTTTTAAATCTTTAAAATGCAGGCACCAAAGGGCAGCTCTATATGGAGGGGTTGGGGCCACTTGGGGGCATAAATACAAAACCCACTCTTTTTTTTTTTTTTTTTTTGTGAATAACTTTCATTCTGATAACTGAAATGATAGTGATAACAAAAAATACAGTTTGATGCAATAATAATTTGAATAAGGAGCAACAATCTAACCTGCCTGTCTCCCTGTGATGGTAGCCCTATATCTTTTAATTTCTTTCTGATGTCTTTGTCTGACATCAAGTTATAGACCAGTTTTGCCATCGGTTTCCTTTTCTGAGGCTTAGAACTGAAAATAAAATAGAATAAAATAAAAAAAAAATATAAGTAAATATATAGTCTTGGTAAACAAGTGCAAGGCTGACCCCACTTGAAAGTGATGCCAAATTATCCCCTAATGATCTCCCCACCTACCACACGCACCTGGCCTGCAATGGCCAAGCAATCAAACTGATTAAATCTTGGCTCCTATATAAATTTATATTAAAGTATATTGTTACATTTTTGATCTCGAATGGGCATAACATTTCTCTCAAAGTTTGCAGGTAAACGGTCATGCGTAGGAGCTGCCCTTGCTATATGGAGTTATGTATATATGTATATAATGGAGTTCTTACCTTTCTTTACCTCCTTGATGCAGAAGTTTATCAAAAATATTAAATTTTGTTATCTAATTCATACATGAACTTAGACTATTCTTTTGTGGGGGGTGGGGGATACCTTCTGAGAGCCTCCTTTTTTTCACTCCTGTTTAGACACTGGTCAAGATGGAGATTGATGTTCCTCTGCTTAATGGCTACTCCACAAACTGGACAGTCCACTGAGGAGAATATTGATCACAGAATCAGAGTAAATAAATTATCATACATGCAAAGAATTATTTAGATCTCTGAGAAATAAAATGAAGTATTATTGTAAGAAATACACACAATTCATTATCTTTTACCTCAAATTATGATTGTGATATCTTGACTTGAACAAACTTTGTGAAAATGAATTTTCTTTGGTATTAAGTGAAACTTAATGGTGAACACTGACCAGCTGAGCTGGGGGCTTCACGTTACTTGGACAAACTTTCTAGTTCGGAATCCAAAGTCCACATTCAAATCAAGCTTATAACATTTCACATCTTATTTATTATTAATTCTGAATTCTGTGATTCCTTCCACAAGACTTTCCTTTTCTCTATATATTAATGGTAACATAATATATTTCATATTTTGAGTAGATTAAAAACACCTTTAAAAAACAATTGTAACTGTAAGCTCCCACAATAGTATCAAACACTTAAAATTGTTATTTTCATGGATATTTCATTCATTCAAAAATCTCACAAACTTACCTGTGTCCTCCGGTTTTCTTTCAGGGGTACTTGTGGTGCCCCCTGTGGCAGAACTTAAAGCAAGAAAATCTGCACCTTTGTCAGGTTTGCTGCTTCCTGGTGTTTTATTTATTGGTGTATCTGGATTCTCAGGACTATGGTCTAACGAGAAAATTAAGGACATTGTAAGTCTCCTCAGATATAATTTGACTGCCTGCTCTTAATCTTTTCCCTACATTTTTCACAAATCACTTGGTAAACAGCATGCTTAAAATGCCTACCACCTTACAAGATGACAATAAATTTGAAATTCTCACCCATTAAAATGTAACTATCAGTTTCATTTTTCTCATTTACTGATATTTTTCAGCACATAAGCAAATATATTTGTTACAGACTTAGCTATTACATATAGAGTCTACTGTGACAAAAATCAAGATAATCAGTGATTAAAAAAAGACTATAGTGCACATAATCTACATATAAAATGTCAATTTTGGGTATTTTTCAAAATTTCAAATACATTCTTCAAATAAAAAACCTACATTCCAGTTTATCTCTCCTAGTGGTCACTTTGTCCTCTGTCACTTCCATACTTTCATTTTCGCTGTCACATATGATGACATCGCTGTCACCTAAATCCTCCATAGGTGGAGCCACTTTACTCTTTCCTGGTGAGTTGTAAAAGGAATGCAGAGTTCTTGATACACTGTGTTTGGATTTTCCCTTCGTGGACTTCAAAATAGAAAGAGTGATTTAGTAAAATGTGGATATAAATGAAAAATGTCATACAACATACTATTAGCATATTTATATTTATCACTTCAAATCATACATATCTGTTACAGTGCATATATACAATTTACCACCTATGACAATGTTTTGCATTGTTTGTAAAACTCTGCAATTCACATATTAACATTTTCTCTTTATCAAGAAAAAATTCATAATTTTTATACACTTATTTTTATAACCTACCAAAACTGTACCTTATCTTCCTTGTTTTTCACATTTGACATTTTTGACTTTGTCCAGTCTTTGACCTCTGACTTCTCCCCTTTAGGAACTGGACAATGCTTGACCACAGGGAGCTGACTTTTAATGGACCCTGGCAGCATTCCAGAACTGGCCACCTGGCTTGTGGAGGGGGACTGGACCTGGTCATCATTAGCGCATGGTTTCAGAGATCTGGCAGCCTGCAAAAGTCTTGACCTAATGAGAAAATTTACATTAGTTATAAAAAAATAATAATAATGATGATGATATAATAACGAGTTCTTTAAAAACCTGCTCCGCTTTCATCACAGTACTATGAACAGCCTAAAGATAAAGCTTAAAATTCTAAAAAATAATAACAAAGAGTAATAATTAAAGGAATACTGTGAAATATCTGATGCAAGTAAAATTAAACTATAATATTATTATATTCTGTTTAAAATATCTGCTTTCAATGCCTATTTTCTAAAATTTTGATTTGTTCAAATTTGTTTTAGAAGTCAAATTCAATTTTTATAAGGTGTAAGTAAATGGTCAGAGAGGTATTATTGCCTCCTGGGTAGGTACAACCAATTGAGTTAGATACATCAAATCAACTGATTATGAAATTGTTGGATTCAAGAAGTAATTTCTGAACCTACCTCGCTGCCAAGAACTTTTTAACAATATCGTCCAGTAGTCTGTTATTCTTCAACTCACGCTCAGACACAGGCTTAAATGAAACAAATTAATTGATTCATTTATATAATTACCTAATGTATGTCTTTAATGCGATTGATAATGAACATACTGCAGTACGTGTAATTATAATGAAAACCACAGACTGCCACTAAAAAGCAAATCCAACATTGTTCTTATATGTAATAAGTCCATGAACATAAGGTGTAGCATTGCATTGATTTGTCATTCAACATAAAAATGACATCAATGCAGTGTTTAAAAATACTTTGTTTTAAAAGCTTTGAATAGCTAGTTGGCTTCATCTGAGAAATCACATTTTTAAGAGTAATGAAAAAATTATGAATCTTATAAAAAAGTAAAACAAAAAAGGCATTCAGGAAAAAACAGTGAAAATGCTTTAATGCTATTGCTTGTGGCAACATTAAAAAGGTTTGGGTTGCAATTTTACATGATTAATTAATAACTCATTTTGTATTTCACCAGCTTCAATTTTACTGACATTTTGCATGAGATTAGGGTCAGTGTACATAGAAGTACATCACTGCTGACCAATTTTTACTTACTGTGGAACAAGTTGGGCACTGTGTTTTGTAATTAATGAATCTTCTTATACACAAAGAACAATCTGAAAAATATTTTGAAAAGTAATAAAAAATTGAAAAAAAGAAAGAAATAATGTCAAATCCATTGTCCTAAAATGGGTACAAATGTATCTCTTTAATATATAATATAAATATACAATATAAAAATATAATAATAAATAAATAAATAAATAAAGGTTTAAAATACATTGCTGAGCTTCCCAACCTGTGGCCTGACTAGACATGAAATTAAATTTCTTTATATACTGGAAGCAACTGCAACAAAAATCAAATGAATACCCATTCTTTATTCTTAAGATTTACAGAACACTTCAGGACCATTGGCAGGGGATAGAGTGTGGTGAGGGTGGAATTTCAAAAGAAACATCTTTTGGGCCAGAAATGGCCAATTCTGAATCAAATTTTGATCTTGATTCTATGTCATTTCTCAAGATGGTTCACTAATGAAATGAATTGGTTTAATTTTTGAGCCCACCCCCCTGCACTTTTTAATTGATGGCCACAGGCCTGGGCCCCGTAACTCGAAAGCATCATGCATTGCAACCGAGCACAAGCATCTCGATTCCATAACTTCCCCATATTTGCCCCATATAATACACTGTAGCCTCTATGTGATATCACTATTCGCAATACGCAATGCTATCCAGTTACAGGCCCTACTCTTCCTGTACTTTCCACTGTATTTTTGTGTTCTTACAGTTATGTGAGCACTCAGGGATAATCATGGCAGTGTTCAGGTAGTCAAAGCATATAGGACAGCGCAGCAGAGTCTCAAGGCCCTTGAAAAATAAAAGAAAAACTTTGTATTGATGAAATCAAGGTTCATGTGATTTTATATTATGAAGATTTATTGGCATAAATGTATGTTGAAGACCATGTAGCTTAAATGAGCCAAATGTGTCTTGATAAATATGAACTATTTTTAAAATCAGATTACTACTCAAGTGCAACTTTGTATTACTTTTTACCTTTTTGTTACAGTGAGGGCACTCCAAATTAGAGCATGACAGGTTAAGCCTTTCCTTTCTAATTCTATATCTATTTTTAAATGATTTACTCTTTGGCTTATCAAGGTATAGTTTATTGGCTATGCATTCCTCCTCATATTAGAATTTTTGGTACAATCAATGATAGATATACAAAGGACAACATAATAAAGCTTCTACACTTAATTACATTAATACTACTACTATTAGTGCTACTTATGATAATAATAAGAAGAAGAAGAAGAAGAAGAAGAAGAAGAAGAAGAAGAAGAAGAAGAATAACAACAACAACAACAACAAATGTTTACAACAAAAGGTTTTTTAATAATTTTTTAGTGTTAAAACAGCAACAAAAAACAACATAGAGAGTGCAGTTAAGGTTGTTATCTCAATACTGCCTACTCTATAACTACTCTATAACTGCCTACTCACTGCCTACTCTATAAAAATTATTACAGTATAGTATTGCTATGAAAATTGGGTTTCCAAAAGGTGCCAGTTGATTGTCATGGATTCATGTGCAGAGTATGTGCCTAAGTGCTCACCCGTCACCCAAAACATTACCACTCGTACCTTAACTTCTTCGAAATCCTCAGGCCAGTCGCTTGGATCAGGATACTCGCTATTTAACACTGACATAACGATTTCATAAACCCAACAAAAATGCCGTTTGGTTTTTACTCGAGCGTAAAATAAAATCAGTAATCACAAATACCGCGGGATAATTTACACAAAGGTCAAGGTCGATATTTGATGCATTCTGGGAAAGTTGTATAATGCGCAGTTGTTGAGTGAGCATCAGGAAACAACATGGACGAATACACACGTGAACCTTGGTGAGTCCTTTAAACTGCATTTATTTTATCAGTGATATATGATAATTTGATGGAAAATCAATTATCTTTAAACATAAACTGTCATACTTGGCTTCATATTGTGTGAATATTTTTAAAGTACTTAAAACAGTGTTATTGTAGCATCGATTTCTACCCCATGGTACGTTCGTGAAGTTTGTAGCAGTGATGCAATTTCAATGCCAATTTCGATTATTGACTGCTAGTTTGGACAGAAACTGTGGTACATCGTTTTAAGTCAAATAGAGTTAATGTCTATAGACCTCTATGCGTATTAACAACAACTGCTTGTTTCATTTACTTCGAGTCATATGTTACCAAGGGAGTTGTTCGTGCCTCACTTGTGAGGTTGGACCGGTGAGGTTGTGGTTTATATCGGTCGGACTCAATAATGACTGCAAGGCTTTGTGCAGTGGCGGATTTAAGGGGGGGGGGGGGGGGGTTTCGACCCCCACCCCCCTTTGATTTCTGACAAAAATCACAAATGGTCCCCACTTGAAATTGAAATTTTGTCCAGCTGAATCGTGGTTCTAAACCATAGAAAATGCACCGTTCTTCTAAAATACCAACAATTTTTAGGCCCCACATCAAAGGGGGGGGGGGTCAACCTCAATTCTCGCACCCCCACCCCCTTCAAATAATCCTGGATCTGCCCCTGCTTATGCATATTCCCTAACCAGGACTGAGCCAGAATTACCCAAAATTATGCTAGTACAGGCCATCTAAATGACAGCTGGACACGTCACTTGGACCTGACATAGCTGCTCAGATTTTATGGCATTTGAAATGTTCTAATGTAGAGTATACCTCACTGTCTGCCAAAGAGTCCAGTCAAATTCACAACATATGACATTTAATACATGGACAACCCCCTTTTAAGCTAGGAAATTGAACACTGCATATTAAGTATTAAGTAAGGGTAATCCAGTATGGTGCACTCACTTAAAGTTTTGTGCAAATGCCTGTACTTGTACTTTCTGTGCTTTATGTACAGATTCTGCTTTTGCTGTATTTTATAATAGAGAGTTGTAACCGGGACCGGAGGGGAGGGATAACTGGCAGAAGGTTACTATTCTCTGTTTAGCTATGCTTAGGAAGACACTGCCCAGTCACATCAAAGTAAAAGTTGTTCTGTATGCCTATTATTCATGAAAGACATTATAAATGTTTCCTTTCACAGTCTCTTTGTATATGGCAGTGCATATCAGAGTACAATTTTATTGGGAATTGAAAATGCTATGAACTGGCGATTTTTCATTTACCTTTTTTCTCTTCTGAAATAAATATTGTCTTTTATCTTTTCCAGTCCGTATCGTATTGTAGATGATTGTGGTGGAGCATTTTCTCTGGGAGTGATAGGAGGCTCGATATTCCATTTTATTAAAGGTATCAAGGACAGTGCAAAGGTAAGCCAGGGTCTTAGGGACCATTCCCACAGATATTTGGATCAATCTATCTCCCTGGGGGGTCTCACTAAATTGCTGTCAACTTGACCCGCTTAAATGTCTGTCACGTTTAGTAAAGCTGTAAGGGGGGTAATTATCTTTACCCTAACTGATTCGGTAGGTGTGAAAGACAATTAAGGTAGTTAAGCTGACAGCGATTTAGTGAGACTCCCCAGGGAGATAGTTGGATCCAGAAGGATCGATCTAGGCATGGGAACCCAGTCTTACATTTTACCATTAACATATGTATATTGAGACATCTAGACACATTTCCAAGAGATAAAAGTCTCTATTAGAGTGCATTCAGAATATTCAGCAGAATGACAGGTGCACGGATCAAATATGGTTGATCCACTTGAATGCTTGTTGTGTAATCCCCGCGGGGAATCTATTCAGTATCTAATCGGGAATTAAACAGCCAGCTTTTAAGTGGGTCGCCATATGGGATCTATGGATCTGTGAGACTGTATTCCCACAGATTTAGATCGATCCATCTGGATTGACCTAACTCCCTGAGGTTTCGCGCTAAATTGCTGTCAGCTCAAGAGGCTTAAATGTCTGTCATGCCTACCGAAACAGCTAGGTTAAAGATAATTACCCCCTAACAGCTTTACTAGGCGTGACAGGCATTTAAGCCGGACAATTTGACAGCAATTTAGTGAGACTCCCCAGTGGGATAGATCGATCTAAATATCTGTGGGAATGGTCTCTTAATCTGATGTTTTGAATGCACTCTTAGGTCTGCAGTTTTAAGCTTACTGGCTCTAGTTTTATCAACATTGATTTTTTTTCTCTCGCCAGCTATGTTGTGAATAAAGTAATTCACAAATGCTAGATATTTATGTATTTAATATTGCTGTCATGTTGAAATGGACAGTTTAATCCACAGGAGAATGCTGTATTCAGTGTTGATAAAACCAGATCCAGATTTGTGGATAATGACTTAATGAATATATTTATGAATAATATAATAATATTTATTTGCATCTAACTTTTAAAGTTAGATTACAAGTACAATAATATAAATCAAATTTACTAAGTAAGAATAAAATAACCCTTATCAAAAGTATTAAGATGAAATAAAATGTACATTGAGGATATATTAATATACATTTTCTCATCCGTATTTTAGGGAAGTAGGTTGAAGGGAGGTTTTATGTCAGTAACTACCAACGCTCCAAAGACTGGAGGTGAGTATATTATAGACTGTGACCTATTCTAAAATAAAACCACTACAGACAAGAACTGCTCTTAACAAGAAACTGATACTAATTAAATTTTTAATGCCTTAATTGTATTCTCAAAAAGAAAAAAAAAAGTAAAGACTGCTCCCATCATTATTATTTGTGTCTTTTGTAAGTTCCTAATGCTGGCCCATCGTATTTTAAAAGCAGCCCATTTGATAGGTCAGTTACAGTCACTGTGGGTCTGTCAGAGGGGGTAAGCGACTACCTCATAAGTGAAGGGAGGGACAGGTGCCTGATGTGCTCTCCCACCCCACCCTGTACTTGGTATTTTTCTGAGTGAGCTTGGATGGGGATTTCCATCCCTTGCAATTGCTATTTTATTTAACTTCCAGGAGCATTCCCTCATCAGGGTTTCACTTTCTCAGTCACATAAAGTTATCATTCAGTATAATTTCCAGGAACATTGACTCAGTATGGTTTCACTTTTCAGTCACGTATTGTTATCATAAATAATGATTGTGTTCACTTAGTAATACTTTACAGTAGCATTCACTTTGTGGGGTTTTGCTTTCTCAGCCACATAATGCTATCTAATATGCCCACTGTAATTTTCAGGAGCATTCGCTCAGTGGGGTTTCACATTCTCAGCCACAGATTGTGCCTTGGTGGCTCTTCGGGGAAAGGAGGATCCATGGAACGCCATAATAAGTGGAGGTGTGACAGGAGCGGTTTTGTCGTTTAGGCGTGAGTATTGGTTTGTAATATTTTAGAAGGATCAATTTGCGCTTTATATGCTATCTAATATATCAGTTGATTGTCAGTTCTTTCAGAGGCAGATGTAAAGCTGTCAGGATTGTAAAGTTTCAGTACTGAGGAATACATTTGTTCTATTGACTGACAGTAAATTTGACAGTTTGTTTCAGATTATTCTCTTTTTTATTTTTTATAAAAATGTTCAAGCTTGCAATAGTTCATTTGTTCTGATTATGTTTTGAACCTTCTGTTCAAAACGAATGGCATTGAGTCTGAAGTCTTTGTCTTCTCAACATCATTCTCATTTGTAAACTTGAAAATTCAAATGCTAATAGTAGGGTTTGAACCTTTTTAAAGGCAGGGATACAAAAAAAATTAACTAAATAATGATAATATTAATAATGATGAATGATGGTTTTGCCAGTAAGGCACTGCATTTTACAGCCATATTAGGCAGTGGTTTGAACACAGATTTTCACACAGTCACTTTGTTTTGTTGTTTTTTCAGAGGGCTATACTGCAATGTTCGGCTCAGCAGTAATAGGTTTGTGGTGTCTTTTTTCTTAAACTATTTTCATTGTTAAGAATTTGATAAGCGGAGGACTGTAGAGCGATGTTGTTTTTTATTTGTTTCTGTCAAAGTAGTATGATAAATCACTTTATTAGTGAGTTTATCTTTTTAGGTGGAAAACTGTTTGAGGTTGTCCAATAGCTTATGCTTTATTTTGAATTCAAGAGTAAAGAAAAACTATGTCACATAGATCAGAAGGGAACCTTATTTTTCTGTTTATATTTCATTTGGAATTATAAAGTTTAACAAATAAATAAAAAAGTAACTTGGTTTGTGAAATGTAAATATTATGTATTGAATCGTTGTAGGGTGTGTATTACTAGCTCTAATAGAGGGAGTTAGTATAGCCATGACTAAGATGAGTGCAGAACAGTTTAAACCTGGTAAGTTTGGCAAAGCAAGTGAATTAAAGGGATAATAACTCTTCGTTTCGGCCAAAAAATGAATTTTCCTGGAGTAAACAACAATTTTCCCATACTAACCAATGGTTAATGAATCCATTTTTACATTCAAAATAAGTCCCTGTTTTTTTTTCTAAAAAGTTTGATTTTTTGTTAAAATCTCTTAAGAGATTATAACAGAGTACAGCCATCAATGGAGGTCACGTGGTCTAAAGACTAGCTCAGATATCAGAATAATAGCTATAACTGCCGTTTTTGTGGTAATAAAAACAGAATACATAATATTTCTATGAGTTATTCACAATGTTTTTATTGTAAAATATAGATCTCATACGAAGAGTTATTATCCCTTTAAACACCAGTTTAGACGCTAAAAAAAGTGTTGTAATATGTGCCTTGATGTGGCGCGTCTTGATCACGTGAGCTGGTAGAGCGAGAATAGTAGTCTGGGATGCGCCATGTTAGGTGACACGATGCAACGTTTCTTCCATAATAATTCCAGACGTATCTGTTGATTTTATTCGTGTTTTATGAGATCACATTGAATCACAACATTTGGCGACAAGGATTAAAAAGTTAAAAAAATATAGTGAACAGTGGTATTACAAATCTAACGTTGCAGACTGCAGTTATGAATCACAACAGAAGCATGCAGTGTACCTTTGGCCATATAGAGCAAAAACCAATTCCTGAAAATTTTAACGGTTTTGACTTAAGTATTGGGGTATAAATTATCCAAAATGTATGTATCCTGTGTATTCAAACATATTTAAAATCACCCTCCCACTCCCCCCCATCTCAGTTTGAATACATTCACACTTCTGTCCCACCAGGCTGTATCTTTGAATGCATTCACAAGTCTGTTTTCTGCCCCATCAAGTCACACCTAACACAATGTGATGATAGTGTTTTCTTTCCACTTCCAGTGAGTCCATTAGAACAGATGCCAGAAGACCCCAGTCAGTTAGGGCCAGCACCTGCTGGATTTGCTAGCTTTTTCGGAGGGGGATCAAGTACTGAGAAGGAATTTCAATGACAGTCTGGACTAGTTTAATGATGGACTTTATAATCACAGGGCTGGTTTCACGGATGAACTGTAGACAGAAGGCTGGGGTCAGATTTTTCAAAAAAGTGTAGACTCACCCTTCAGGAAATCAATGCCTTCAAGTACGTTTTTTTTTTTCGCTGGTTTTCCTGTCATGCCCAACGTTAACACACTGTGGTGTCAATTAAAATGAAGCGTCTGATGCATAGTATCAAACGTAGCATTCTCATGCTTGTTTGCGATGCGTTCAGTACATTTTGTTTATACTGACAAGCCAAAGTTTACATGATACCGCATTTGTACGCAAAGCTTTAGCTGCCATACTTCTACAATGCCTGTTCAAATTTGAAAATTTACAGAGACGTTTTCTGTCAATTTTTTGAAGGGTGAGTCAAGAGTAAGTTTTTGGGTCAATTTTCCACCTTACTTAGACTTCACTTACTAAGTTGTATATAACAGAGTGTGCCAGGCAGTTTATCTCGGGGATTTTTTTTAACTTTTGGCAAATTCTAATGACCAAATTGCAATTCTCTTTACATAGATTCTTAACTTAAAGTATGTGAAATGTCTTTATTATGAAGCTCTTAAAGCAATATCACAAGCTAAAGTCAACTTTGCGTGGCTGGCTATTGATGTGATTTTAGCAGTCTAAGCCCAAGAACTTGGCCCTTTTTGTGAAAAGGACCCCAGGTCTTGTTTTTAAGACTGCAACTTTTGTTCTACTACTTTTTGGTAAATGTGAAGTAGTCCACTAGGAATAAGTTACTATTGGCATACCACATTTGCCATTTCTTTTCATTAAACAGGAGGAATATTTCATCCAAGTGGAATGAAATAACTTTTTTTATAAGTCAGTATCTGTAAATGCATTGACTAAATGACATATGCTATTTGAATGGCAGTGTTTTTTTCTTCTGCATTTGATAGACATTTAATCATTTTTGAGATCAAGATCTCTAATAATGCATAACAACTATTATAGTTTAAGAATGAGATAGATCATTTTTGAAAGATTTTAATTGCTTGTCAGGGTTAATTAATTTATTTAATGTGGTATATTTCAATGCAGCTGTTGCAAAAAAAAAGAAGAGGTCTTCATGCGAGCTGTTTCTTCATCGATCGGCTGAGGAAAATTGTTCTCCATCGCTCCTTGCAGACACTAATTTGGCAAACTAGAATGTTGGAGAACAATAATTGTAATCTTAGCTGAACGATTGAAGAAACCATGGAAGTGCTTTTCTCCTCAGATAGGACGTGCAGCATTGTGAAATGATTTCCTGTTGCAAAATATCACATTTTCTCTGGCTTTTAGTCTACGGTCATTCACCTTGTTCAGGTAGATTTGTTAGTCAGATATGTCTGTTGCTTGCGTTTGCTATGCACACGAAAGAAAGTTGAAATTATATACCAACTTGGTTTTAGTGAAAATTTTGATGTGGTCGGGCTGGGTACCGTGAATAGTAATATTAACGTGTCAAGACGAATTTCTGCGTTTAGAGGGGAAGGGGAGAGGGAGATCGAGAAATGAAACCTGGGAGACTTGTTACTGGAATCGGGTACGAGAGAGAGTCTGTTGTGGTACAAGGTCTGGTTCCCATTGATTTATACAGGCAAAAAACCTTAACACTGGACAGTGTCCTTTCTGCATTCTTTGTGTGACCATGAAACTGGCATCACTGGTCGTAGAAAGGAGGAACGAGCATCGCTTTGGTTGCAAAATTAATGTTCAATGATCCGCCAGTTGTCGGCACTGTTTTTTTTTTTTTTTTTTTTTTTTTTTTTTTGTACTCTCATACGGAGCCTTACTACGGGACGCAGAAAGTACGTCCAGTGTAAAGGAGGCTTAACTAATAAGCACCGTTTAAGAGATTGATCGACTTACGTCGGGTTAATCCTAACCTGTATGAATTAAATGTAGAGCGGACTCCCAGTTACACAGGCCCTCGGTTTCTTTACCCCGGCTTGGGTAGTTTACGCTGAAAGATAGATTGTTAAGTCTGCGATATACTGCCGTTTTGTGTAATAAAGTTGTGCATCTTGTAAATAAAATTGTTTGCACCACCAGTGGGGTTGTTGTTTGTAAAAACGAAATAAAATGGACCTTTATTGGACATTGAGGAGCTGCAGATAAGTCACAGTGACCGTGGGTTAAATTTGAACAGGTCCATCGATTATTATCTATTTTTTCTTAGGAAATGGATTTCAAAGACTTGTGGCATCATTTTAAACGAATCGCAAAGCTCATTTTTGTGCGACATTGAGCAAATTCAAATTTTATGCGAGGGATGGGTTTGTATTTGTTTGTTAGCCGGGACCACTCGTTTCATAGAAAGGGTGACTTGGGGAAGGGAATAGTTCGTATACCAATATAGTGCGGGACAGGAGTGTTAGTCTGCTGTGATCCGCAGTCCGTTTTCCCATTTGACATTCTCCCATTCACTAACAGCGATACTTCGGCTTACCATAAGCTGCACTTATTATATGGTGCCCTGCACCTCCATTCCTGACGTGCTGTCAATCGTTAGGTATGTACAGGCGATTCCAGTGTCTTGTTGGCGAGAGGTGGGGGGGGGACATAAGGATTAAAATCTTCACCTTGTTCAGCAAATATAAAAACAGTAGACAAGGGCAATATTACTCTAATCGCTGACAAATGAAAACCTAACCTAATGAAAACCTAAGTTAACTTATACTGAGAAGTTTAACCACTGTCTCTCCTAACACATTCTGTTGTTAAACATAAGAATATATATATAAAATATAATATCATGCCTACATACTTGCCGCTGTGTCGGCAATAATACATATGGTACAGGAATGGAAAGAGACTTAGTCTTCTCTCGTTTTGCCTTTTATACTGTTTTATTTTATTCATTATTCTTATATATTATCTATATTTATTTACTTATTTACCCAGGGAGGGGGGGGGTCGATGCATTTCCTGCCAAGGGTCCCGCTAGTGATATGTTGTTGGAGAACATTCGATCATCTTTTCTTTTCTTAATTTTGAATTTATTCGAGTAAAAGAAAACTTATATTGCAGCGGAACAAACCAAAGTGATTTATTTATTTATCAATTTATAGACAAAACTTGTCAAGTAACATGTCGGAATTTTATTGAATATTCAGCGTCAGTGACTCGTGACAATATTGATTTTTTATGCTGTAAAAACAGTTTTGCCACACAGACCTTCATTGCACTCAGAAGAGCTGAAACTGATTGCCACTATCAACTTTACGTCCTGAAGCTTACTTAAAACTTTACCGCGTCATGATTTGCTCAGCCGTGTAAGCAATTGGAAAGTCAGCAATTTAACGATAGAAAAGATGATTTTTTTCTCTCAAAGCTCTAATCAAATCAGTTCGATTTAATCTGTTTCGAGGCAATTAAATGAAAGGTCAGCAACTGATTGTATCGCGTGCGAGCGCTGAATACACTTTCAGGTTCTACGCTTCGATGCGTTCTCTTCCTTGTGCCATTTTTGAGTGAGGAAATGAGGGCCGAAAGGGATGAAGTAAGCTTTCCGCGTTTAATAATCCTATGCGCACTTTTTGCCCGGTTTGTTTACTGTTAATATACGTAATGTAAATATCTTGCTCTGATATGACGTTTGGAAATTACATCAAATTAAATTAAATCATACGCGATTCCTTAAATTTTAACACAACAATCTGAAAAAAATAACAAAAAATAAATCTTACATGATTCAGAAAATTTTAATGCAACAACAATCTGACTAAATTCTAAAACGTACACCTATTAACCCCCTCCATTGTAGCACACGCACACACGCACGCACACACACATACACGCACGCACACACACACATACACACACACGGGAAATCGTTCTGATCAGCTTTGTTTTTGACTCGATGCACATAATTTCTGTTCTCTACTAATAAGGTAATAGAGTTCCTTTCACTGGATATTTACAGATATTTATGGGCTATGTCTTTTCTGCCCAGCAAGACTTTTTGCAAAAAAATAATAAAAAAATGACGTCATCATCTCGTTGATCACCGGTAGAGAGTAGACATCTGGAGAGAGAAGCCCAAAGACGAATGGATATCAGTTAGACTGCGACGAAAAAGGAACGAGGACGGTTTATTTTCAAGCGCGCTTTTCAAGTTTTCCAACAAAACAAGCGGCCTTCTTGTCTCCATATCACTAATGGCTACGTAACCAGTGTGACGTCCTCACATCAACCGCTGTGAGAGTTGTGCTCTTGTTGTTGCGAATGATCAATATTAAAATAATTACTTATTAATGCATTGATGTAACACGTTCTGTTCTGAAACATTTTTGATGTCTTTTTTATTTTATCATCATTATTTTTTAATCCCATTTCGCAAGACGTATTCAGGATTCAGTGTTCCTACTGGGAGTGCAAATGACTCTATACATAAAACAATATACAGCGCAAGCGGTCCCTGAAACTTGGTGCATTCAATCGTCATGCAAGCACCGTTCGATTTCCTATTTAGAAAGGAGCATTGAGAGATGAAATGAGCATACTGCTGTGCGACCCACTCATAACGCAGCAGAATTGGCGCTGTCTCAACAGAACCTCCACTTTTATGACGTCACGCATTACACGCGTGTATTGTGCTGGTCACGTGATCCCCCATAGCGACAGAGAAAGCTTTTTTTGTTTCATTTGCGCTGAAAAGGTAACGTGATGGACGTCTACTATATGAGCGGAAACTGACAGAGAGAGAAATGGTGAGTATTCCATTTTCACTTAGAGGAACAGAGCTGTAAATTCTGCCAGTGTATGAAGGCAATTCATTTATTATTTAACTACTACGGGCTGTTTTCCAGCTAAAATATCCGAACACAAAATATGGTCATTCATAATGTTAGCGTTTTTCCTTTTGGTGTAACATCGTAAAATGCATGGTCATCTTGTACGTGTAGAATCAACCAATATGATGAGCTTATAACCGATAATTAAAAATGCATAATTTATTACTTTCATAAAAATAAACATGCACTTGAGGGAAAAAACAATAAATCTAAACGTTTTTCTCTTATTTGCTATTCCCAGAAGTGATTAACACTTTAGGGTGAGGAACCTTAAACTAATGGCTTTCGATACTTGCGTGCTTGCTGTTCAATGAAAGAAAAAGCCTGTAGAGGATTGCGCTTGAAAAAACCATCTGTTTAAATGATTTGATTGTATTTCACGCCAATTTACTGTTTTTCCTGGCGTTTTCTACCCTCGCTTTTCTGAACTAAGCAAAGAAATCCATTACATGACTTGTCTATGTAAGTAAATAATCCGCAATTGACGCACTAATTCAGTCACATTCAAAGTTTACTTGTAACTTATGTTACGTCATTAGGACGGTTTAGAAGAGTAAAATTAGTGATCTGTCGAATTGAATTATTTTCTGCCAATTACGAAATAAACTGTAATGTTTGAGTTGAGAGGTTCTGAGGGGAGGTTTTAAGACTAGTGGAAAAAGTTTTGCGATTCAGTTTACTCAAACTGAGAACGAAATCCTTCATTGAACATGAAAATGAGCGCGTGCTTTTGCCGGCTGACTTGTTATCTGAAGCAGTAGAGTAACTTCCTTGTCTCATGCCTCGTCTTAATTGTCTTGAGATCTATTCTACCGACGGGACTGCTCCAAATATCGAGGTCCGGGTCTTCTTCCTTTGACATGGAGTAGAGAAATTTCCTTGTCTCGTGTCATGTCTTGGATGTCTCTAGGACTTTTTTGCAGGGACTGCCCCATAGAGCGTAGTCTGGGTCCTCATCCTCTGACATAGGATGGTTTGCCTTTTCACTTAAAACCCTTGACTTCAGGCCCGTTGTGTCTGGTCAGAAGTAAAGAAATGTGTTGTGCCAGAGATTTAAACTGTAGAGAACGTCTGTCTGTAGACAATGTTGTCAACGTGTTTATGAATCAATATCTACTGGTTCGTAGGCAGTGGGGATGGTTTTTTAAAGTAATTCGGGGGTCTTTAAAAAGCGTTAGCCTTTTCCGTTCTCCTCGTCCTTCATAGGCCTCTAAGCTTTTGTTTCAGTCAACGTTTAAATGGGTGCTCCAGGTAGTGTAACTGACCTTCTTGCACTTACAGGTATATATAACAGACCTGCACCTCCTCCCACCCCCCACCCCCACCCCCAGCATTATTTTGCTAAGCCTATTGCCCTGTTGTATAAGAATTTTACGAGTATCCTTATTCCAGTGTTATCACCATGAACACTTGTGCGTTGTCTTTTTCGTTATTTTTATCTATTCTACGCCAGATTTTAGGTGATCTTCGTTTAATCAAGAATTGGTCATTTGAAAATTACGTTTGCACTCTCTGATCCATATGGCTTTTCTACGCTGTTGAGACACGCAAGCGTTTTCAGTTTGTGACAACATTAAGAATGAAGCCCATTAAGAGTTTAAGGGGATGCATAAACGCTTAGTAAATGGATTAATGCACTTTTAGGGTTTCTTTTATGTTTGTGTACCTTTTACGCCTTCCACTACTCGATATTTATTAAGATTTGTTTTCCTATTCCGAATGTTTTATAAATTTGTACTGGAAAATTAACCTCTTTACTCATGCAGCGGCTATTGAAACATTGACTTGAATTACCAGAGATTTGTGGTTATTGCAGCGTTTGTAATTTTTCCAAAGTTAAGTTCAATTCAGCATGCCTCATATGCGACACACGAGTCTAGTTATTCTGTGCAAATGGGTTAACTAAGTCCCCCGCCTTGCGAATTTCCGAGCGCTGACTCTGTTGAATGAGTGCTGTGTCTCAGCTATGACAGCGCACTGTATTTTATTTTCATGTTATCTAAGCTTGATTATTTTTCTGTACCCTTCTTTCT